GAGGTCCCCGAGCGGGACCGCTCCTGTGGCTCTGGGTTGCCGAAAGCGTGTAAAAACAGAGAGACAGTAAGACCCCGGGCTCCCCATTCCCCGCCGAGGTCCCTGAGCACGACGCCCCCGGCCACGTCCCCTGGTAAAACTGTGTAAACAAAAAAAAAAGGAAGGCCCCGGGCCCGGCCCCCATGCGCCGCCGAGGTCCCTGGAGCTCTGGTGGCTCTGGGCCGGCGAAACCCTGTAAAGACATATAAGGAAAGTAAGGCCCCGGCCCCCCATGCGCCGCAGAGGTCCCGGGGCAGAACCCCCCGGCCACGTCGCCCGGGGCTCTGGTGGGTCCCGGTGGCGGAAGCCGTTTAAAAACAAAAGGAAAGTAAGGCCCCGGGCCCACCATGCACTGCCGAGGTCCCTGGGCGGGACCCCCCCAGCCACGTCGCCCGGGGCTCTGGTGGGTCCGGGTGGCGGAAACCATATAAAAACCACAGGGAAAGTAAGGCCCCGGGCCGGCGAGGTCCCTGGTCGGGACCCCCCTGGGCACGTCCCCCAGTAATACATATATATATATATATATATATATGTACACACATGAATATACATATACATATACAGATACATCTGTATATCTCTCTATAATCAGATGTATATATACACATCTGTGGTGACATATATATATATATTATCATACGCACCTCTCCGAGGGAGTAGAGCTCAGAGGCGATTAATGCGCACGCGTCCGCGATTTTTCTGGGCGTTTCGCTCGGGACATCCTCGAAATTCTGAAAATCGGTGGCACCCCTCACGCAGATCGCGACGTCAGGGTCCAAAAACACATGGGAAATTCAACATTTTAACATAAAACCTTCAAAAACACATGGTAATTTCAATAATTGTGACCCCGATTCTCAGTGAATGGCGGTTTCGCTTGAAAAATCCTTCCAAAATCGAGCCCCAGACCCCGCCTCGGAGCCTCCTGGGGGCCTCCTGGAACCTCCTGGGGCCTCCTGGGCCTTCTGAACCTTCTGGCGCCCCAGACCCCGCCTCGGAGCCTCCTGGGGGGGTCCTGAAACCTCCTGGGGCCTCCTGGGGCCTCCTGCGGCCTCCTGGAGCCTCTTGGGGCCTCCTGAAGCCTCCTGGGGTCTCCTGGGGCCTCCTGAGGCCGCCTGGGGCCTCCTGGGGCCTCCTGGGGCTTCAGAACTACATGCACACAGAGACACAAATCACGCCCAACGCATCACACGCTAGACAAACATAACACACACACACACAACACCTACAACACACAAAAAGCACGCACCACACGAAGCATACATCACAAACACACACACACACACACACACACACAAACACACGCGCGCGCGCAACACTCACAATCCTGGGGCCTCCTGGAGCCTCTTCTGGTATCCAAGTCGGGCCTCCTAAGGCTTCCTGGGGGCCCTGGTACACACATCGCAAGGTGTGGCAACCCCACTTGCGCTCGAGTGCGACTTCGATGTTGCATTTCACTCCTGCTTCAAACGCCCCTTCAGTTTTTGTATGAGCCTGGGCACACACGTGTCACTTGTATCTATATATATATAGATATATGCATGCTTACATGTAGATATGTAGGCACATGGTTGTCCTAAACAGATCATTCGATAGATAGATTGGCAGCTCCGCGCGACAATAGGAAAGTTGAATAAACCACCACAGAACTCAGACCCATCGCAAATCGCCCGCCTCCCCATTCCCCCCAAACCTCATTATCACCCGTAGGGTGGTCCTATCGTTTTCAGTCCCTCGGCCCATCCTGGCACTGTGCCTGAGGTCGAGTTCCAGAGACGCCTTCGGGGCAGTTTGGAGGCTTCTTGAGGGGCTCCTGGGGGCCTTTGTGGCCCACTTCGGGGTCTCTTGTGGGTCTCTCGGGGTCTTGGGACCATGTTGGAGGGGTTGGTGTCCAACGGTGCGACCATCGTGTGTTTGGGCGGTCTCTTATCGGGCCTTTGGGGCCCCTCTTGTGGGCCGTGTTGGGCCATCTGGGTCTAAGACTGCGGGGCTCTTAGTCCGTCTTGAAGGGTCTTGTGACCGATTCGGCGAGAACGTTCAATTCACACGAACACCAAACACCTAATGAAGGACTTCTGCTTCTTTGGGACGCGTGGGCGAGCCCCCGACAGGTGGGGGGCAACCCTTCTTCGAGTTACCTATATGATCATGTGTATCAAATGTATGACGAGCTTGCGCCCCAAGAGTGAGTGGTCGGCAGTTCTGTTTGAATGCGGGAGCCTCGTCAACATGTCAGACACACGTGGTGCTGGCATTTCACGGGGGGGGGGCGTTCCTCTGGCCAAAGGACAGCTTGCAAGGACATGCGGACGGGACCTTGGCCGGGAGGGTACATTGCAGCACCGCTGGCGCATCATTGACTATCCCTGGTATTCCCCCTCACCCAACTCTTCCCCCTCCTCCCTCCACACTTTGCATCAGGTTGATTGGCTGGGGTAGGTGGAGGATTGAACACTCGAACACCCTTGGGCAAAAGAAGCCCGAGACTTGTGATGGCGTGGGGGTCAAGGCGCTTTCTCAGCGATGCTGCGCCACGGGTAGATGAGTCCAGCGGAGCCCAATTCAAGCACTGTTGAACTCATCTGTGCGTTTTTCTTCCCCCCCGTTTTTTGCTTTTTTTGTTCTCTCTCTCTCTCTCTCTCTTTTCTCTCTATCTCCATATATCTCTCTCTCGGCTGCAGGTAAGAGTGACCCTGGGCAAGAGTGACCTTTGGTGCGCGGCTTTTGGGAGGCGCGATGAGGCCAAACACAAGCGCGCAAGAGACTACTACCGCACAGCACGCGGCGATGGGTGGACCCTGGTGGGCAAACACCAAAGGTCACTCAGGCAAGGTTCACTCTTACGTGTAATTCGCCGAATCTCTCTCTTCCCTCCCCCCCCATCCCCCCCCCCTTTTCCTCCTTTCCCTCCACCCCCTCCTCTCCCCCCCTCTCCCTCCCCCCCCCCTCCCCCTGTCCTTCTCTCCCCCCCTCCCCCTCCCCCTCCCTCTCTCTCTGTTTCCTCCTTCAGATGCTCATCCTGGGCACCTCCCTGGAGCCACTCGTTCCACTCGTGCGCCGAAGCTGCGTCGGATGTCCGTCGACTCGAGCTTCTGACCTGAGTGAAACCTGGGTCGAACCGATCTGTTGGGTGGGCCCCAGGAAGGTCCCAAAACGAGCACCGAACCTTTCCTTCCATCCCCCCCCTCTGACCAGCCTGGAACATATCCCTATCCCTAAGCTGGGTATCGCCTCAACACAATGCCAATCTTAGGGATCCCCTTATTCCCAACCATCCTGTGGTGTTGGGTCCTCGTTTTGAAGAGACGGTGCCCCGCGTCTCCTTCCTCCTTCCTCCTCCTCCTCCCTCCTCCCCCTCTTCCTTGCGTTTCACCCGCCCAGTACAGCGTTTCGTAGCCCCATAGGGAGCTCCACCGAAGGCCCCATGGCTGCCGTCCGCATGCGTCCCGCACACCCATTCGGCACACCCCTCACACGTTTCGTGGCCCCACAGGGAGCTCCACCGAAGGCCCCAGTGCTGCCGTCCGCATGCGTCCCGCACACCCGGCATTTTCGTGGCCCCACAGGGAGCTCCACCGAAGGCCCCACTGCCGTCCGCATGCGTCCCGCACACCCATTTCGGCACACCCCTCACACGTTTCGTGGCCCCATAGGGAGCTCCACCGAAGGCCCCATGGCTGCCGTCCGCATGCGTCCCGCACACCCATTTCGGCACACCCCTCACACGTTTCGTGGCCCCATAGGGAGCTCCACCGAAGGCCCCATGGCTGCCGTCCGCATGCGTCCCGCACACCCATTTCGGCACACCCCTCACACGTTTCGTGGCCCCACAGGGAGCTCCACCGAAGGCCCCAGTGCTGCCGTCCGCATGCGTCCCGCACACCCATTTCGGCACACCCCTCACACGTTTCGTGGCCCCATAGGGAGCTCCACCGAAGGCCCCATGCTGCCGTCCGCATGCGTCCCGCACACCCATTTCGGCACACCCCTCACACGTTTCGTGGCCCCACAGGGAGCT